ATTAAAATAGTTGACATTATAAAGTTGTCTTATCAATAATAGTTTATTAGAAAACCATGTTCTTTAAACAACCGATTTGTGACTGTACATGAAAATAGTGGGTGTGGCTACACATTTAAATCTTTTTCTTTTGGGGGGGTTTGGGTTTCTCTGTGAAGTCTTGGCTGTCCTGAACTCACTTTGTAGACCAGGCTGTCCTCAAACTCAGAGATCTGCCTGCCTTTGCCTTCCAGAGTGTTGGGATTACAGGCATGTCCCACTGTGCCTGGATATACATTATTCCCAATTTTTTGAGCTGGCTGGAGTCTGTGACATGCACATTGGGGAGAGTTGATGGAGATTTGTCTCTTCCCACCGCCTGTTGTAGGAACACTGGTCTTGTGGTTATTGTCCTAAATGGACTAGAATTAATAAGTTTTTGGTACTTTGAGAATAATAGGATTGTCCTAACAAATGTAATATGATTGTCTAAAACCTGTTTGTTGAGTAGATATTAGATACTAGCAAGAGATTATGCATAGGTGATGTTTCTTATTCTGAATCACATCAGGTTTCTAGTCTAGAGTTGAACGAGATGGTGGCCACTCACTTTATTTTCCGATTAGATGCTGACTTTGATTAGCCTCTTTTCTCTTCTTAGAGGGTAGCTTGACAGATATTTAGCAGATCAGACCAGACAGAAAATACCTTTTGTTATACCTCAATACTGAGGAATTTTTTCTTATAGAAACTGAAGGCTCAGAGGAAGATGACAAAGAAAATGACAAGGCTGATGAAACACCAAACGAATCAGCTCTTGAAAACAAGGTAAGCTGTTATTTCTCCTATACCATTACAGCTTTGTTACTGTAGGGTTAAGGGTTACTGGTATAGGAAAGGTTACTCTGGATAGCTGGTGCTTGGTTAGGGCTTAGGAATTTTTTTTTTTTTTTCCATTAGAAGATGAAATACACCATCACAATTACCTCCCTGACATAAGGTGACAAAAGCTATAGACCACCTATAGTGGTGGCCTATCTGGTGGGTTTTAGGGAGAGGGGCTGCATTTTGAATTGCAACCAGTATTTTTTTTTTTTCAAATTATAATAAATTATACATTTAAATTTATTCTCTAAAAAGATGCCTGTCAAACTTGTGCTTTTACCTAATGCCAATGATTTGGATATATTTCAGTCTCTTCAAGAAAATGAAGAGGAGGAGATTGGGAACTTAGAGCTTGCCTGGGATATGCTGGATTTAGCCAAGATAATTTTTAAAAGGTAAAAACTTGGTGATTTTGGGCTTATGTGGGACTTTGTGGTTGGAAATAGTAGTTTAGAAGTAGACAAATATTTTTAAGGCTGTACTAATTTTTTTTTTTTTCTTTTTTCTTTTTTTAAGGCAAGAAACAAAAGAAGCCCAGCTTTATGCTGCACAAGCCCATCTTAAGCTTGGAGAAGTTAGTGTTGAATCTGGTAATGCATTTTGTATTTTTCTGTCTCCTAACTTCCCCATGTCCCCATTCTTTTCCTGTTTTCTTCAGAATTGACTTTGCACAATCAAAGGTGGAGTGGCAGGTTTTCCAGCCCTCCGCTGACTAAAGCAAAAATACAGTTTAAGACTTAGCTAAAGACTTAGTATGGCACCTGGAGAGATGTCTCAGAGGTTAGGAACACTGGCTGTTCTCCTAAAGGTCCTGAGTTCAATTCCCAGCAACCACATGGTTGCTCGCAACCATCTATAATGAGAGATGATGCCCTCTTCTGGCTTGTAGCCATACATGCAGCTGGAACAGTGTTTAAGAATACATCTTTAAAGAGTAGCGTAGACTCTATATAACAAAATCCAATTGACAGAAGAATAGGTCTGAGTTCTATATAGTGGACAGCCTTGTAAATGGCATATCCTGACAGTTAATTTAAGCACTCAGGAGGGGAGTGGAGGATCTCAGCTCAAGGCCAGCATGGTTTACATAGCAAGTTTCAGGCCAGCCAGACCTGCATAGTGAGACCCTGTTTGGAAAGGAGAAGGAGGAGGAGGAAGGAAGAGTTAGAAATATAAAATGAAAGTCTATTCTTGAACTGAATTGATGATATTAAATGCTGTCCAATTCTTGGTATTCTGTCTTCATTCATCAGAGAATTACATCCAAGCTGTGGAGGAGTTCCAGGCTTGCCTGAGCCTGCAAGAACAGTATTTGGAAGCTCATGACCGTCTCCTTGCAGAGACTCACTATCAGTTGGGTTTAGCCTATGGTTACAACTCTCAGTATGATGAAGCAGTGGCACAGTTTGGCAAATCTATTGAAGTCATTGAGAAGAGAATGGGTAAGTGAATAGCTACTTTATGTTTAGATGATACAGTGATGTACATTTTGACAAAAATGGGTCCCTTTGTTATTAATGGTTTAAGTCCATTCTTTGTAGCTGTACTAAATGAGCAGATGAAGGCGGCTGAAGGCTCATGTACTGAACATGAGAAAGAAATTGAGGAGCTGAAAGAGCTGCTACCTGAAATTAGAGAGAAGATAGAAGATGCAAAGGAATCTCAGCGTAGTGGGAATGTAGCTGAACTGGCCCTGAAAGCTACTCTGGTTTGTTGAGTTTTACCTTAAAATTTTTCTAAATGAAATGCTTGTGTGGTATAATCAATGGTTATAGTCCATTTGTAAGAAACTTTTCCTCATGATTTGATTCTGAGGTAGTTTATCAGAATAAGAGTTCATCTCACTCATACCAGTGGTTAGAAAGCATGCTCTGGGGGCTGGAGAGACGGCTCAGAGGTGAAGAGCACTGGCTGCTCTTCCAGAGGTCCTGAGTTCAAGTCCCAGCAACCACAGGGTGGCTCACAACCATCTATAGTGAGATCTGCTGCCCTCTTCTGATGTGAAGGCATATATTCAGATATTGCATACATAATAAATAAATAAATTTATATTAAAAAAAAAGAAAGCATGCTCTGTATGCAGACAGGCTAGGTAGATTTCCATCACTGCTAGTTTGTGTGACTTTGGACATTTCTTTGTTTTCAGTATTAATACCTTACCTGTGTGTAAAATGTTTTTGACAATATAAAAGGCTTAAGTCATGGAGTCTCTTAACCCTGTATTGCCTGGCTCTGCTCCCAGCCACTGGCATGCTGGGGAATGCTCAGTTGTCTCTCGAAGACCTTGCTGTGTAGCTGGGGCTCTATGCAGCAACTTACTTGTCTGTCTCACACAGGTGGAGAGCTCTACTTCAGGTTTCACTCCTAGTGGAGCAGGCTCCTCGGCCTCCATGGTGGGTATTGTGTTTCTGTCAATAGGCCTACTAAGAGCCTAAAAGTTTTTGTAAATTGTTAATAACAAAGGCTTATTTTTGCCAGATTGCCAGTAGAAAACCAACAGATGGTGCTTCCTCATCAAATTGTGTGACTGATATTTCCCATCTTGTCAGAAAGAAGGTACATGTACTTATTTTTCACCTTTTCCCAGTCTGCATTTGAGGGTAGGAAGTTTGAAATAATAGCTAGGAATAATTGACTCACACTAAGTGGCACAGTGGACACTCATTTTCAGAAGACCTAAGGCTTTTTGCACGATCGGTTTTTACTTGAAATATCTTACATGACACATTCAGTTTCTTAACCTGGTGGCTATTTGGAAAGCTAATGGTGAGGATTGATCAGATGAGTACATTTCAGGAATCTGGCTGCTTTTTTTTCGTTAGTAGTACGTTTTCTTCTGACACTTCTGCTAATTGTTGCTCTGTGGTGTAAGTCTTTGATTCTGTGTTTGCTGACTGAAAGCAGGTTTACTTGTGATCCTTACCGCTCAGTTCACCCTCGCCTAATTCCATGTGCCTCAAGTAGGGAAGTTTTAGCATTGCCCTTTAACCAGAGAGCAGATCCAAAGGGCTATGAGTTAGGGTATTCAGGATATTGGCATCACAGGGGTTATAGGATTATCTTGCAATTGTCCTAAGCCTTTACAATTATACCTTTAGAGAAAACCAGAGGAAGAGAGCCCCCGGAAAGATGATGCAAAGAAAGCCAAACAAGAGCTGGAGGTAAATGGAGGCAGTGGGGATGCTGTCCCCAGTGGAAATGAAGTTTCAGAAAACATGGAAGCTGAGGTGGGTAGTTCTAAGATGTGGTCACTTGCCTCACAAGCTGTTCTTAGTGGTGGGAAGCCAGGCCTCCCCAGTGCTTATGTGATAGCAGAAAATGATTACACTGAAAGTTGTTTGCATATAAAGTTATAAATGAATGTATGGGAAGTGATCAGCAATACTATTCGATCATTTCTACTTGACCTTTCCCATGTAATGTGTGACCTACTAGCTTTATCAATGTTATCTTGTAGGGAAGGGGACACATGTTTACTTACCGAAGCCTGCTTTATTATATACGACGAGATGGCTTATGTCAAGGTGTTATACCTAGACTTTTGTCTTTCAGGCTGAGAATCAGGTTGAAAGCCGGGCAACAGCAGAGGGGACAGTGGAGCCTGCAGCTACAGTTGAAAGCACTGCATGTTAAGAGGGAGCAGAACCTTCCTCCTGAGGGAAAGTGGTTTTGTACATAATGTATTTTTTCACTTTTGGGGATTCTTTTTTTTATAACTTCAAATAAAGATTGTAGACAACAGTGGAGGCTTTGATGGCTGTTTTTCTTCATTATGGTGGAATATATATGCCTTGGGGCACTCAAGGTTTTTTTTGGTGTGTGTGTGTGTATGTGTGTGTGTTTATTGTGTATTGCTGTTGCACATCCCACAGGTGATCAGGTGTGGCTAGAAGCTGCCCTTCCACTGGTGCTGTTTCTGTTTCCAAATACTTGGCTGAATTTAATTGTCTGTAAGCTTTCAGTGGTGCTATCCCTGGATGGAGTCTACCAAGCAGGAAATCTGGTGCTGAAAATGGATGATGGAATACAAACCAGTTCTTGAGTTGTACCTATCTTTGTTCTCCTGGTTTTCATTTAAGGCCATAATCGTATCCTGGAGAAACTTGCTCTGATGTGAAAGGTTCAGATTGAAGTGTGAGACAACTAGAAGTATTCTGTATAGAAAGGGTGCAATATGTTAATAATTGGAATTGTTATATTGCCTGCAATTTTGTAAAATAAATATAATTTAAAAAAGATTCTTGTTCTGGAATTATATTTAGAAAGACTTCACAAGAAGGGACCTGGAGTATCCCTGTGGGATATGGGGTTTAGTGGCAATCCATTAGTTGTGGGTGTCTAATTGAGGGGTGGTGGTCAGGTTCTAATGCCATACTATTAGGCTGGGACAGAATTAAGAACACCCTAACTGAGGTGCCTTTTACTTGCTCTTTAAAAACACACTGACTTCCTCATTCTCGTATAATACGTGTGGTGTAAATCTAGCGTTGAGGATTATGTGCTGAATGACCTTTCTGGAAAAAATTCACTAAAGCTTGGTTGCAGAGTATCTGGCTCATCATGATTTGTATTGCCATATTCCAGGTTCTAAATCTTTTTTCCCATCTTTCCCAGTTGGACCATACTTTATATGATCAGTACAAGGTCCTTGCTGATTGGATCTGTAGTTAAGTTTAGAATGCATGATCCTCTACTCCAGTGGAATATAACTGGGCTGAAATCTACCCTGGGATCTAGAATTCCTGTGTTGGACACTTCAGATTCTAGATCGATCTGTCTGGAGGTCCTGAGAAAGCTGGGAGGAGTGAAATTTGACAAAGCTGGCTTTATACAAGCTTATCCGTTTTCAGAGATTTGAATGTTAGGCAGTTATTGTAAATATCTGAAACCGTTTACTCCTCGATCTGCTTTACAAATGGAAGACAAGTGCAGAAAGCCTAGTTGGCATGGCTGGAGTTTGCCACTTCTTGCAGACCCCATTAAAAAACCTGCAGGTCTAGAAATGTGCCTCAGGCCCCAGAAACCTGATGTCATTTGGGTCAAAACTGGTGAGGGCTCAAATGCCCTTTATCCTTGACTCTGACAAGCCTCTTCTTTGGGAGGTGGAGGGTCAGCAAAGGCAGAATTGTGGGTGAAGGAACTAGCTTCCAATGATGAACTGGAGACCTGTAGAATATAAAATTGTAGGGTTTTTTTTTTTTTTTTAAGCAAAACTAGAGATAAAAAGCTTTTGGAGTTGAAATATCTGAGGACAAAGTTTAAATTTAAAGATAAGCCAGTTCAAGTTAAGTGTGCTTTTTCTGTCACACAGTATTTAGGGGGTAACTTGAAGGATCAAATGGGCTATTGTAGGGATTGGTGCATACTAACTAGTTAACAGAAGCTGGTTAGCCAGCAGAGGTTCATCAGTCACACTAGTTAACAGAAGCTGGTTAGCCAGCAGAGGTTCATCAGTCACACTTCCTAGGTGCAGTGGACTCTCACCAGTGGTGGGTACTGGTATTCATGGGCACTCGCTGGATTGATCTCTTCCAGTTTCTGGACATCTGTATCTCTTGCATTCACCAGCCTCAGAAAGAGCTCAGCTTGACCTGCCTGGGAGAGGTGAAGTGGTACTCTGTCTGAATCTTGTAGTAGACCCAGTCCCTTACCCTCTGCACTTACCTGGGGGATCTCATTCAACTGCTCAAGGCTGAGGCTGGGATTAGGAGGAAGGACCCGAAGTGGGAGGCGCCAACGGCCACTAAGCACCTTCTGGTCTTGGTCAAATAGCAATAGTGAGGCCCAAGCTTTTGGTTGTGGTGCCCATGTGACTCCCTGCCAGGCCTGTAGCTCACAGGTCAAAGATAGCAGTGGGGATGGAGGCAGCCTGTAGAGCAACCGAAGCCATGTTGGAAGATTGCTAAAGCTAATCTAGGGATGCTTTTGTAGGACTTGGCTCTCGGTGGCCCAGTGGCCCCTGTGTACAGCTTAAATAGGAGGAGGTGCCCTTCATGATCTAAATCTACTGACCTGGGCACAGGTTGTCTGCTTGCAAGGATGGCACAGTTGCCCATAGGTCCAGGAGCTGAAGGTGGAGGCAAGCAGAGTGCTGGAGGCAATGCTGTGGTCCCTCCTGTATCTTGTCCACCCCGGGCCAAGCTTGTCATTAGCTGCACCCAAATCCAAGATGCTTCAAGGCCCAGCAGGAAGTCATAGAAAATGACAAGGCCAGCCCTGAAGAATACAAATCTTAAGTACACAGAGCACCAAATGTCTCCATCCAACCAGTACTTGAACCCTTAATGGCTCTTGTGGGTCTCCTTAAATGTCTGTAGTGACTAAGTTAAAGAGGCTGTGAAGGAGGGAGCCGGCCTCACCCGGGATCATAGAGTGCAGGGCCTAGAACATCAGATGCTGGTAGGGAAGAGTGGAGATCCAGACCCACATTCCTTGTCATGGGTCCATTAAGTTTCTGCTGAGGGCAAAAGATTTCAACCATACAGAATTGCAAAGTGCCCAGCCTCCCCAAACTCCCTGTCACCACTGTCTATCAACCCCCACTCTGCTGAATCCTCACAGCCTTTGAAGTGGCATGGAAGTTCCAGACATTTCTGGAACTTGTAAGTGGTGGCATGGGGGGTGCAACTGGTGGAGAGAGAAGAAAGGTATCACCCTTCCTACTCATGCATCGCCAGAGATCCCTGGGTCCTAGGAACAGAAAAAAGCAGGAAACTCAGAACTAAGTCAGGGGGAGTTGAGGGTCATACACCAAAGACAAGGATAGACATATGGACACAAACCTATGGTACAGAGACAGGCCTCATTCTCCCAGCACAGCCCTTCACCCCTTCTCCTGAGGTGGGTCCCCTGGGATAGGCTAGGGAGAGCTTGGGTTTTTCACTGACCCCAGGATGCCAGACTCAAGCCCTTCTGCTTCTGCAAGGCTAGGATTTCTGCCTCCAGGAGCCGGTTTTCAGCTTCCACCATTAGAAGCTCCTCAGAGGTGACACTTGCTTTTTCTAAGATGAATTAAAGTGACCTGTTGCACTTTATGTAGTTCTCCAACCTTTGGGTTTTGCTGCACAAGCCTGAATTTGTCATCTGACAATGGGTTTTCCTACCTTGAGCTCAAGTGGCTCCCATTGTAGTGGTGCCCTCCCTCACACCCTTTCCCCCTTCCCCAGTCTAGGACCACCAGTGTGGAGAGGGGCCCTCTAGGCTGGCTCCTTCTGTTCACCCTTGCGGTTCTGTGACCGCCGCAACTCCAGGGCTGCCGCTTCTACTTGCAGCTGCCGTATTTTGTCCAGAACTCCTGGGTCCCGACCTCCACCGCGCACATAGGCCTCACGTAGGACCCTAGCAAGAAGGCGGCAGAAAGCTGTTTTCCCAGACTGAATAGCCTCCCGCCCCTGCCCAGCCCGGGCGGGGCCTCACCGGATCTCCGCGGCCAGCGTTCCCAGGTTGGCAGGCAGAGGACGGCGGCCGAACTCCGCTTCCCTATAGGCATCCCAAGGGCTGCTGGTGTCACCGAGCCTCCCCGCGCCCCGCCCCACCCGCGCCCCGCCCGGCCCGCGCCTCACCGCGGCTGTGGCTGGAGCGCCAGGACGTGCGCACCCAGCGTTTGCAGCGCGGCCCGCGCCCGGCTGGCCTCGGCCCTGAGCTCCCTGAGCTGGCGCTCCACGCCGAACGGGCGGGAAGATCCTCCCTCGGTTCCCGCTCCACCGAGGAGGCGCTGTTTCAGCTCTGAGGGAGGAAGGGCCGAGCTCGGGTCCGTCCTGGCGCGGCAGGAGGATTACCGCCTGTGTCCCACCTCTCACCTTCGCTGCGACACTGCAGGGCCCGGCCTCGCGCTTCAGTCTCCGCCACGCGCCTGGCCCGGGCTCCCTGCAACGCCTGGAGCCTCTCAGCAGGGCTCCCCGCCGTCTGGGAGCCCTGTAGGGCCAGTCTCAGCAACCGCACCTGCAGGTAACCGGGACCGCGGTGTCTGTACTGGCTGCTCGCCTGAAAATACCGTCTACAGACGGGGAGTTTGTAGCCATGCTGGGTGTGTACCTCCTCGGTCAGCCTCTTTAGAGCAGACGTGCTGGACTCCTGATCTGAACGGCTCTTTTCCTGTGCCATAATCTGGTGGCAGGGAGAAGACTTCTGAGAATCCTGCTTGCTAGCAAACCTACCCCGGGCCACAGGTGGCCCCTATTACCGTGGTTACTGAAGGCTGTGTCCCGAGTGTCGCCTCCGGAGTCAGCCGGCCAATGCAGAATCGCTGGGTGTGGGTGGCCAACAACGCCCAGGAGCGGAAAACCATGTCACAGGACTCACAGGGCAGAAGTCCTGACTCCCCAGAGTAATCAGCCATCGGATGGAATCCTAGTGACAACCAGCGTCCTATAGAGGATACGGCAAAGAGCGGGGGGAAAGGCAGGCTCTGTTACATCTCCAAGTTCTTCAAATTTGTGTTTGGGGAGGTGCCCTAGCTCCCTGGGCAGCAAGTACAGGCCTGGGCAGGCCACGACAAAGTGCCTTTCCATCTCTGGGAGGAGCCCCAGGTGAGGAAGTGTCCTAAGTCGGTTCCACCAATTGCATGAGTTTGGGCAAGCCTGTGATACATTTCCTTGCCCACAGAAAAGGCAACCTCCCCCACTAGCTGGGCCTCTATTACTCATTTCATAGCACCTGACAGGACCGTGTTGTCTGTATCACTGTTTTCTGCGACAGAATTCAAGCTAGTGCTAGTCTCCACTGCAGGGACCACTTGAAGTTGCACTCCACAGAAGGAAAAGGCCACGGTAGTAGCACGCCTCTACACAAACCTTGCCTTTACAGAATCAACCCATCACAGAATGGAGCAGTCTTCCTAATTCCCATTCTGAAACAGATGATTTGAAATAGCCAAAGTAATGAAAACAGGGGTGGGGGTGAGGGGAAGGGTGGGGCATATGTCTACTCGGGGGTACAGCAAGCTTTCTGCTGGTCAACTTATCCACGCACATGCATGCACCCATCAGACTGTGAAGCAGCAGCTTTCAAATCACTTCTTTACTGAACAAAGACAGGGCCCTTAAGGTATTTGCCTGCCAACATCCAAAGCACGAGGAGCAAGTTACAACGTGTTTCAGATCATGCGCTCTCAATTCGGCATAATTCTAACAGAAAAGATGAAATGTTCTGAAACTAGTAAATGGCTAATTCTTAATACTACCTAACCTCAAACTTAATTTTTTTTCAACAATGCGTTACTTCATTTATTTAAAGATGCCTTCTCTGTGTGTATATATGTACGGTGTTTTGCCTGCATGTATGTTTATGCAGCAAATGCATGCAGGACCCAAGGTTAGAAGTGGGCACTGCTGGGGCTGCAGTTAGGTTGTGGTTACTAGTTGGATTCAAACCCTAGACCACTGGAAGAGCAGCTAGTGAGTGCTCCAGCGGGCAGTTCCTCTAATTCCAGTACATATTTTAATGGTTTAGATGAGCATTATACTAAAATTGGTGAATTATCCTGTTGGCTTTGTAGTAGAGCTAGGGCCTTGGGCTTGCAATACAAGTGTTCTAAAAATGAAAAACACGCCCAGCTGCAAATTTCCTTAATGTTTCTTAAAATATTTAAAACTTTAGTTTATACAAATGTTAGCACATGCATGCCAAGGCAGGGAAGGTCAAAGGACAAAGGGAGTCACTTGTTTACTTTCACCATGTGGGTCCTAGGAATCAACCTAACCCTAGGTTGGTGGCATGCTACCTCACCCATCGAGCTGTTTTGGTGGCAAATAGACTCGGTTGTGGAACCAAAACCATGACATCTGCAAAAGCAGTAGCTGCTTTAACCATTAATCCATCCTTCTTCCTTCTTTAATGTATATGTGTACATGTCTCGTACACATGGACAACTAAAGAGAACAAGGAAAGAACAAACAAACAAACAAAACAAAAAACCAAATCCATGTATACTGATTAGTAAATCTGGGCACTAAAAAAAAAAATCCTTCAGCAAAGAAAATGTAGTTTGTTTGTTTTTTTAAAATTATGAATAATTTATTGAACAGGTTTTTCTGCACCAAGAGTTCTGCTGATAGGAGAAACAGGTGGGACTAAACTCAATCTTCTCCAAGATTTCTAAAAATATTTCCCCTAAAAAAAGAATCCACTCTCTAATTTTAAAGAAAATATATTTCTTACACAAGACAATCCAAACTGATGCAAAATATTTATTCCACGTTAGTTATTTTATGCAGTAGTTTTTCCCCCTCAACAGACTTGTGATAACCACATCTTTTAAATCTGTAAATAATGTTATCAAAATAATCTTAATCTTTGAAATCTCACAAAAATTCATATTTTACAATCCACCCTGAATATCAAGGCTGCAAGAATAACATCTCCTATATCCAAATATTTTACAGCTGTACCCAAAAGAAAAAAAAAAAAAACAAAACAAAAAAACAAAAAAAACAAAAACAACCACATATGCTTGGTTAGGGGCTAAGTTACCCGAGCAGCCAAAAATAAAATAAAATATCCAAATTATTAGCATTAATTTAATACAATTCTAACTTCAATAAGTCACTTTGTCATTGACAATGATTGCTTGAGCACAGGGTGAGTGCCCAAGGGCTGGTAGAGGAGCTGTTGAGCAGAGTGGCATCTCCCCCGTCTCTGCGCTGCCAGCTCCTACTTGTGCACGGCCCCACAGGTACTGTGTGTGTGCTTAAAAAAAAAATCCCACCACACATATCTATTAAGCAGTTAACAGGGAAGAACAACAAAAGCTAAGCAAGACAATTGCTCTCTCTTTGGGATATGATTATTTCCCTTGTGCATGAAGTATTCAACAACATAAGAAAAGGAAAAGAACACTTTATATTCTCTAAACACAAGGCTGAGCTTAGTGGGGCAGGTCAGCTTCGAGCATTCAGGTTTCTACTTCCAGGCATCGTCATCCGACGTCTCACTGCTGCTTGTCTCCGTGTCCGAGTCGTCACACTCTGCATTGCAAGTGCTTCTCCACGGGGAGAAGAGGTTGGAACTACGGCTCTGCAAGAAGCCGTTCTTTCCAAACCCATTTCTTCGTAGCTACGGAGCATAGGAGAAAGAAAATAAAAACCCTTCAGTAAGCTGGGTGCAGTGAACCACAACTCAGGGAGGCAGAGGCCAGCCTGGTCTACAAAGCAAGTACAGAACAGCCAAGGCTACACAGAGAAAATCCTGTCTCAAAAAACAAAACAACCCTTTGGTGAGTACATTGGTCCATGAGGATTGACGAAATTAATTTTATTCATTTTTGAAAACCTACAATCTCACAGTGTTTTATTTAGAGTAAGAACCCAAGTTTAATTGAGCAAATTTACAAAGGCCTCTTGGCTCCTTAGCTGTGGTCAGATCAGAAGGAAAGCACAGGCCTGGTTTTTGGTAAGGATGGAGCCTGTTCCTTTCTGACTTTGGTCTGTATTCTCTGCAACCCTACAGTGTAGGCAGAGACTGACACCACATATGATACCATGGCAACCTAGGTCTCGCTCTCTCAATTTTAGGTTTTCCTAGCCAGCTATGCTGGCACATGGCTGCAATCTCAGTAAGCATGAAGCAAGGCAGAATTGGAATTTTGTAGGTTCCAGTTAGCCTGTTTTACACAGCGTGTTCCAGGATACCCTTGTTTGAGACAAGATCTCCCTGTGTAGCCCTGGCTGATCTGTAGACAAGGCTGGGATTAAAGCCACACACCACCACACCTGGCAAGACCCTGTCATAAAGACAACAAAAACTGGCCCCCAAATCCCAAATAAATACTAGAATTTTCTAAGGCCAAGGATATTCTAAGCACTTGGGTATCAGGAAAGGCTCAGGGCTCAGTACACACCTGCTCTGTTTTCATGTGGAACTCCTTGAGCTCATCCTCTGTGAGTGGAAGGCAACTCTCATCATTTTCAGGATATTCCTGCCATCCCATTGCTTTTAATAACCTTGAGGAGACAAAAGGATAGCAAAGAAATTAAGCTTGACTGTGTATTCCAGTAGCATCCATGGGAAATGCCTGCCCAAGGCCAATAGATGTTACAGAGAGTTTTCTCCCTAGTGGGACAAGTTACTTAGCTGCTCATAATTAAATGGAGGCTCCTATGGTTAAAGGGAACATGACCTATTAGAAAAGACAGTAGAAACAAAAAATAAGATGGTACAAATAAAATCCCAATCTCCCCATTGAAAGGAAACTTTTCATAGAACCAAAGGAGGAGGAAGAAATTCCTTTTGAACAAATTAGCACATCTCTCTCTGTTCCATAGCTTGTGCAGTTCCTGTAGCCTGCCACATGACTTCACTAACCTCTGAGAAGTACCTCTAGGATAGTGGTTCTCCAGGGGTCATTTATCAGATAGTCACTTTATTATTCAAAACAGAAGGAAAATTATAGTTATGGAATAGCAATAAAAACAATTTTATGATTGGGGGTCACCATAACATTCAGGGTTGCTGTGTGAGCAAGGTTGAGAACCTTAATCTTCCTTTGAGGAAGTACTGTCATACTTGGTAGCTGCCATCTGCTAAGAGGTTGTAGGCAGAGTACTCTCTTTCTATGCAAGGCCTTTATTTAAACAGTTGGTTCCTTATAGGATCCCTAAAGCCCCTTTAAAGATATTTTACAGTAACTGCCCAGTTGGGCAAGCAACACATCTGTGGAAAATGCTTTTTGCCTTGACTGTATTCCTAAAACTGAGTATGAAATTAAACCTCACAAACACTTTGGGGATTTTGGAAAAGCGTACAAACAGAGAATGCTTAGTGGGCAATAGGGTAACCGGAGGCACACAGAGTGAGTAAGTTTTCAAATCACACCTCTCTTAAGCACGCTGAAGGTTCTTACTACATATTATCCTCACCTATGCTCTGCTTCCAGAGAGTGGGACAGGACCTCCCCTTCTGCTACCATGGGTAGAAGAAGACCATTCTGAAGACAACCTTGTTCTCCATTTTCCTTTGGTTCGGGTGTGTGGCTGCCCTCCAACTGTAGTAGAGGGATAGATAACACTTGGCTTTGTGGCATAAGCAACCCACAACATGGAGGACAGTGCTTTCCAGAACATAGCCCACCCTCAACCCACACACCTTCTTCCCCGATTGAAAACTGAGACCTCCTGTGCCAATAAGCTAACTGGGAGTCAAAAGTTCCAGAACAGCTTAACAATGAGAGGTGGTGGTGGGGGACTAAACACACAGAATCACTGATTCAAATCTAAAGTACACAGCACACCTGAAGATAAGCAGTTGTGAACACAGGTCTTAAGCACGAAATGACTGTTAGATAAACCTTAACTGGGCTTTGTTAAAAGTTAAGTTTTTGCTATCCTGAAGACAGTCTAGAAAATGAAACAGCATGGCAGGACATACCTATAATCCCAATATTGATGTGGCAGGGGCACCAAAATCAAGAATTCAAAGCCACCAAGACCCAGCACCCCACCCTCAAAAAAGACAAGAAGATGGGGAGGAAAAATGTGTCAAAACCTCATCTGATGAGAGATTATTCTCTATGATATATAAAGAACACTTAAATTTTAACAGTAAGAGAATTAACTTTAATTAACAAAAGGGGCTGGCAGTGATGGTGCAGATTGTTCTTAAAAAATAATTTAATTTTTATTTTATGTGCATTAGGGTGAAGGTGTCAGATCCCTTGGAACTGGCATTATAGACAGTTGTGAGCTGTTATGTGGGCGTTGGGAATTGAACCCAGGTCCTTTGGAAGAGTAGATAGCGCTTTTAACCACTGAGCTATCTCTCTATCTCCAGTGGTGCAGATTTTTAATCTCAGCACTTTAAGAACACACGTGAAGCACTTTCTGAAGAAAATCTTAAGAGATGACAATTATACACATCCTCAAAATATAAAATCTACACATGGTAATCTCTACTTTAATTCTTAGCAGAGAGTATAGTCATTCTTATCAAATTAATGTAAAATGTTTCACATTCAAACATTCCTTTGGTACATGAAAGTATCAAGGCTGGGCTGGATTTGGTGTTACACACCTTTAATCCCAACTCTCAAGGGTCAGAAGCAGATGGAGCTCTAGAGTTTGAGGACAGCCTGGTCTAATAGTGAGATCAGCCAGGGGTACATAGCCTGTCTCAAGGAAAACAAAAAACAGAAAGAAAAGGAGCTAGTGAGATGGTTCAGTAGTTGTAAAGGCACTTGCAACCAAATCTGATGGTTTGAGTTTGATGCCTGAAACCTGAAAGCTTCTGATATCTATTAGTGGATTGTGGCACATGGACATATCCACCGCATTAAAACAACAAAAGGATACATATGACAAAAGAAAATTCAATATAGAGTACACCAGAAACACCCCTATACTCTTACCCCCTCCAGCTTGTCACAGTCTCTACTTTCTGAGCAGTCTCCATTTCTTTCATCCTTCAGAGTTTTCAGAAACTCACTCTTCCTGTCCGTGGTTCTTCGGGTCAACTTAGTTAGGCGAGAGGAGCTGATCTCAATTGGAGGGGTGGTGCTGGAGGGACTCTGAGAAGACAGCATAAACAGATTGCTCCTACAGCAACGGGCAAGAACTAGGAGTCCCCGAGTTACTTTCTCTACCCTCTTCATTTTTGTCTTTTACTTAAAAAAACAAAAACAAAACACATGGTTGAAGACTTGGCTCAGAAGGTAAGAGCACTGGCTATTATTCTGAATGACCCAGGTTCAATTCTCAGAACCCATGGGGCAACTCACAACTTTCTTTAACTCCAGGGATCCTGAGACACAAAGGAAAACAACCATATAAATAAAATATCAACAAAAATCTTCTGCAAACCAATTTATTTAAAAACATCAGTTTTAGCTGGGCACAGTGGCACATGCCTGTGATTCCCACACCCAGGGAGGCAGAGGCAAGAGGATCTCTGAGTTTGAAGCCAGCACGGTCTACAAAGTAAATCCAAGACAGCCAGGGCTACAAAGAGAAACCTTGTCACAAACAAACAAACAAACAAACATACATGCATACACCAGTTTTGTAGGACTTTTACAATACAGATTCGGGGTTTATATCACATAGCTATTTTAATCCTGCAGAAACCAAGGAAACACCAACTGTGGTTTACCGCAGAAACCTGGGTTTGGTTC